GTTCGGATGGGGATAGGGGTTCGGCTTCATCTTCTTCAAAGAGGATGAGGTCTTTTTGGCTTTGGAGTTCATGTTGTTCAGCTTTTAATATGGTGGAGTGTAGGATAGGGGGCTCTTCTTTTTGAGGGGGTGAGGCCGTGGCTGTTGTAGGGGGAAGAGGTGTAGGGGTGACCTTCTTTTTGTTGACCAAGAAGGAGTACGTGTTGGCGTAACCATCGTGAATTACCCTTCTATCGAATAACCAAGGTCGTCCCAACAAGATATGACACGCATCCATCGGGATGATGTCGCACCATATGTCATCCACATAGCTTTTTCCTATACTCAAGGAAACTAGAGTTCGGGAATCCACGCGTAATCCTTTACCATGATTTAGCACTAGATGGTATAAGGCCGAGGGTGTGGTGAGGCCTTCAACTTTAGCTTTTCTACCAACGTCTTTGATGCGACGTTGGTGCAACTCCCACTGTCCACGATTAGTGAACACACCTTCTTTTGCATGGTACAACGGGTATGGAAGATGTTCTCCCGTTGCAATTGTTCATCCGGGACAGCCAAGTTGCTCAATGCTCTCCGAATGACTAATAGCTCGCCTTCATCGGCTCCAAGACATTCTTCTTCTTCCGCTACTTCTGTTAGGATCTTTTATAGTCTTTAAATTCCCTTACATTTACTAATATTTGGGTCACCATTAGTGAGAATTTGGTTTAATTTAAGATCAAGAAAGAACGTTGACCATCCTAGAGGTTAGAGTGCTATTCTTGTGTTATTTTAGGTCCTTTGGGTTAAATGTTAGAATCGGGCTAGACGACCCGAAGTGAAAATAATCAACCCGGCCCATTAGTGAGAGAGAGCAGCGACGGGTGAGAGGAGAAAGGAACGAGAGAGAGAGAAGGTGAGATCGAAGGTTCACCGGGAGAAAAAAATTCCGGCGACCAGGCACAATTCGGCGAATTAGACCTCGCGATCATCATCAACCGTCACACAATTACCAAGTGCTTCTCCTGATCAGGCACTGTAGCCGAACAGAGGAGTCATCACGTTCGCAGGATTTGATCCTCGAAAGCTGTCCAGAGGTACTTCGTTGTTTTTGTTTCCAAATTCGAGATACAGTCTTGATATTTGAGGATTGTTTGAATTGTTGATTCATAATTGAATGTGTGATTTCGTGCTATCCAAATCCGAGTCCTGATCTCTTATTTGAACAATATTTTCCTGTGATCATGTGTTTAAATTGTGAATTGATTATCACGATCATGTCTCGAGAGTAATCCCTGTAACGCCCTAAAACATACCCTAAAATTTTTAATGAATAAATAATTAATTAATCAAATTTGTTTTGATTAAAAATAAATTGTTGTTGGGCCTTGGGCCAAAATAAAATATGTTTTGATATCCATTATCATGATCCGGATAAATCTCATAGAGATTAATCCAATATGTTGACTTAGTGTGTGACCTTGATTGGGAACCTGAGTACAGACCCAAATCAAGGATAAATTAAGAAATTTATTTATGATATGAACTTTGAAATGATTTATTGAAATAAATCATGAGAATAAATAATATGAATGAAATGTAAGAACCTTTTTGAGTAAAGGTCAATTAAATCAATTTTGACTCTGTCAAAGTCAAACACCCAAAAATATGATGTCGGAANTGTGTGACCTTGATTGGGAACCTGAGTACAGACCCAAATCAAGGATAAATTAAGAAATTTATTTATGATATGAACTTTGAAATGATTTATTGAAATAAATCATGAGAATAAATAATATGAATGAAATGTAAGAACCTTTTTGAGTAAAGGTCAATTAAATCAATTTTGACTCTGTCAAAGTCAAACACCCAAAAATATGATGTCGGAACAAGTATTACAAATAAATATAAAAATTATATCGTTGGATAGAGTTTAAATGTACGATCACAACGGTCCCAAACGGATTTCAATTCGGAGAAAGTTAAACCAAAAAGTGTTCCCCGACTGGGACCAAATTAGTCCCAATCAGGGACTTGCGTTTGGAATTGTAGAGATAGGCCGTCCGCTCCACCGAGACGCCAAAACAGGAGATCACCGTGTCTTCTTCCTCTTCCTTCTCCTATAAAAGACTACCACAACTCCCTCCATTCTTCACCATTTCTTACAAAGTTTCATTCTATTCTTTTGCTGGGAGTGAGGAGAACGTGGTGGTGCTGTCGTATTGGTGTGAGGTCGCCGGAGTTGAGAGTAATCATCGCCGGAAGTTTCGCCGGAAAATATCCAAAACCTTCGTTAAGCTTCGAGGTAAGCCCGTAGATATATCTAATGACTAGAATGTTCGTATAGATCGTTTCTACGTTCATAAACGGTCGAGTTTTGTGTTTGACATGCTTGAAGAACCAAGAATCATAAACCATTAAATTGATGTTAAAACTATGAATTAATGATTCCAAAATGATCTATGAACCTTGGAGAACATCTCTATATAGTTTTGTTGAAGTTCGGTAACTAAAAACGGTATTTTCGAAATTGGACCCGAACGAAGAAGAAGATGAACAGTAACCAAAAACCAGGCTGTCTGGATCGATCCAAATAGGTGGATCGATCACCTGGGCATAATTCCTCTACATATGGATCGATCCAGAAGGCTGGATCGATCCCCCGAAGTTCTGATCCGAAAATTTGCTCGAAATTGCTATTTTTGAGCTCTAAAATCCTATTTTTGATACCAATTGATTATGATTATTTTAAGAATGATTCTTTACAATAAAAATGATGTTTTTAACAAATAAAAATGTTATGTGATGCATGACGGTAAGTTCGGGTGTTAACACTCGAAGCTAGGCCGCTAGTTGTTATTGAATATTATGTTGATTAATGATTATGGTAATAATTATTGACTGATGATTATGATGATTAAATCTCAATAAATATTCTGATTAAAATGATAATTGTGAATGATTTAATCATAATGAATATATTGATAATTGTGAAAATAATATATTGTTAAGGGTATCTAGAAGACCTCTAAGATATACCCATATTAATGTTGATTTGAAAGGTATCCAGAAGAACTCTAAGATATACCCATATTAATGTTGATTTGAAAGGTATCTAGAAGACCTCTAAGATATACCCATGTTAATGTTGATTTGAAAGGTATCTAGAAGAACTCTAAGATATACCCATATTAATGTTGATTTGAAAGGTATCTAGAAGAACTCTAAGATATACCTATTTAAGTTAGGCCTTGCGGGTATGAACCCCGGTGGCTAGGTTTAAAACGTACGTACGGGATCCAGGAACCAAACTTGAGTACCTACTCGTTTGGGGATACCACCCACCCAACAGTGAACACTACGCTGTCGATTTTTGGTTGGCCTTAAGTGAAGGTAAGTTTAAGATTTTCAAAACCCTTTATCTTAAACTAGGCCTAGCTTAAGGATTATATAGGAATATTTTATACTGGAATATAGTTTAATTATTTAAACTAGAATTCGTTTAAGGGTTCAAATATTAAAGTGATTGGCCTTAGACTAAGAATAGTTTAAGGATATTGTTGAATGTTGAATATTGAATATTGAATATGAGTAAATATTGAATGATGAATATTGAATTGAATATTGCAATTATTATGAATGACTGATGAACATTGAATGTGAATATAAATGTTGAATAATGCATGATGAATAATTTTTAATAATTACTGATTATCTGAACTGAACAGTATGTGCATGATATCAAATGATTTGATTATGAATTTAGATTCAGTTGATATGGATGTTCGATGCATTAGATATGCTTACTCAGCTTCAACGCTGAGCGTGTAGTATGTTTTATTTGCTACACGCAGGTACAACAGAAAGAACACTGTGATCCTGGCAGCAGATGGGGCGAGATTGTCAGGATGGATGTGACAAGTTTGAAATGATTTATGATATGTCAAAATTAAATTCGCTTCCGCAATATTGTTGAATACTCCGTACTGTATATGTTATGAAAAATTATTGGGATTAATAAAGTGTGTTTTAAAAGTTTTAAATTTTTACGATTAGCAAGTTAATACTTTAGTCTGGAAGGGGCTGCAGACCTGAACGGATTAGGGTGTTACAATCCCTCTCTTGTCTGGTGGAAATTTAGGATCAGTCTCAGGCATTTGTGATCATTGCTTTGATATGAGGTTTAGACAATTGTTGAAGGTTGTTTAATCATGTTTTGTGCTCAGCTTCTCAAAACTGTTGATTGTATTTCTCATGCCTCAATTATTCAGTCTGAAATTCTTATTTGGGGTCCAACAACTGGCATATAGTGTATTTGGCTGCCCAAGTATATTTTATGTTCAAAAGGTTTTTTATAACTGATATCATGCTTATGTTAATTTGCATCAGGCTCATCCTGAGGTTATTAACGTAGGTACAGGTCCTTAGGTAGTGCTCATCTCTCTTAAGGACTAATTTTTGAGGTGGAGATTTACCTTCTTGCTGAGAGAGCTAAATCCCCTTTTGTTCAACAACTAGTTTAACTGAGAATCTGATTTTTTACTTTGATCTGAGCAACTGTTCCTAATTCCACCAGATAAGCTTGTTCACTCCACTTGATAACCACAAATCTTTACATGATCTTCTCTCTCCTTCTTTGATCTGTTCTCATTGTTTCTGTTAAAATCTGTTTTCATTACATAGCATTAGCATCTTATGAACAACCCCCCCTCCCTTGCGTGTGTGTGTGTTGTGGAAACTGAGCAATAAATCAAGAGAAGAAATAATAGAAGACAAATCTCCCTGTGGAAGAATGACCCTACTTACCACTTTGCTACCATTTTTATAAGTGTGTAGTAATTGGGGAATAGGTTAATTTCTTGTCACCTGACAAGTGGTTAACAAATCTGGCGCCGTTGCTGGGGAGATTTGATCTCTTCTATCTTTTCTAATTGTCATATTAGGTCTTTATAAGTTGTTTTTTGTGAGCATTTGTGTCATTGTTGAGTTGGCACTAACCCTTGTTTTAAGTGTTGTGTCAGTATCTGCCTTTTGATGCAGTTAAGAAGTGGTTTGGAGACCACAAGGGTAAATGTTGAATTAAATTTGGAGAATCAGGTCAGTATTTCTGAGGTTGCTACTTCTTTTGATTCTGAATTAGAATCTAAAACTGAGGTAATTGTTTCTCCTTTCCCATCAAATAATAACATGGCAACTTTAAGGGAACTAGCTGCACCTGACCTTCAGACCCAGCCCATGTCCATTACTTATGCTGTTTTGGAAAAGCCATTGAAATTAAACTCTGGATTTTTGAATATGCTTCCCAAGTTTCATGGCCTGCATGGTGAAGACCCTTATAGACATGTTAATGAGTTCCTCATAACATGTGCAGCCATGGAACCTGAAGGAGTTCCTCAAGAGCAAATCAGACTTAGGGCCTTTCCCTTTTCAGTGATGGACAGAGCAAAAGATTGGCTGTACTATATGCCTCCTGGGTCTTTTATAACCTGGCCATTACTGCATATGGCATTCTTAGAGGAGTTCTTTCCTGCCTCTAGAATAGGATCTATTAGGAAGGACATCTGTGGGATAAAACAAATGGGGAATGAATCATTTTCTGAATATTGGAAGAGATTCAATAAACTCTGTGCTAGTTGTCCTCAGCATCAAATCTCTGAACAGCTGCTCATCTAGTACTTCTATGAAGGGTTATCCCTAATGGATTGAAGTATGGTAGATGCTGCTAGTGGTGGTGCTTTAGTTACTAAGACCCCAGAGGAAGCTAGGAATTTGTTCAATCTTATATCTCAGAACACACAGCAATTTGGACTAAGGATGAATGAACCAAAAAAGGAAACTGAATCTCTTGCAGCCCTCACTGATCAGATTGCAAATCTTACCAAAATTATGGGACTAATGGTTAGTCTGGGAGGAATCAAGAAGTCAGTTTGCTCTGTGTGTAGTCTAGAAGGGCATACTTCAGAAGTGTGTCCCAGTTTTCAAAATCAAATGTTTTCAGCTCCTGGTTTTCACTCTGAAAATTTTCAAAATTGTGAGGTCAAAGCTGCTTTTAACAATCAAGGACAGAGGAGGTATGATCCCTACTCCAATTCCTACAATGAAGGGTGGAGGGATCATCCAAATCTGAGATATGGTCCCAGACCAAGTCCCCCAGGTTTTCAAAATACGAACAACAACAATTTTTCTGCAAATCTAAACAATCCTCGTGGTCCTGTTGATAAAACACACCAAATGCTGGAGGTAATTTTGAAAAAAATGGAGGACAAGTTCTCCCTAGTTGATCAGAATATGAAGCTAATGCAAGAAAGGCAAACAGCCCAAGACACCTTGTTGAGTAATTTGCAGGCCCAAATTAACAACAGGTTACCTGCTCAACCATTTCCTGCTCCTAAGAAGAATGTGAGTGTTGTTGTCCTTAGGAATAACAAGGTTCTTCCTGAACCTTCCTTAGGGAAGGCTAGAAGGGATCAGGAAATTATGGAAAAGGAACTTGACTCACAGAATATCCAAGAACCTGAATTGGTCAACAATAAATCTGTTGTGACTCCTGATAATTCTAGGGCAGTTTACAAACCTCAACCACCCTTTCCCAATAAATATCAGAATCAAAGGAAGAACAGTAAAGAACCAGATGATGAAATATTTGAAATGTTTAAAAAGGTTCAAGTGAACATTCCTCTTCTAAATGCAATAAAAAATACTCCAAAATATGCAAAATTTTTGAAAGAGATGTGCACTAATAAAAGAAGGCTGAAAGGGGATGAGAGGGTGAGCATTAGTGAAAATGTTTCTGCCATCTTTCAAAAGAAACTTCCACATAAATGTTAGGATCCTGGTGTGTTTTCTGTGCCTTGTAAGATTGGAATTTTGGAGAATACCTAGGGAGTTATTTGACCAGTTGGGGGTAGGAGAACTAAAAGAGACTGGGGTAGTTATTCAACTTGCTGACAGGAGTTTGACTTACCCTGAAGGGGTGGTTGAGGATGTTTTAGTCCAGGTCAATGACATGCTCTTTCCTGCTGACTTTTATGTCCTTAACATGGGAAAGGATTATTCTGGCATTCCTCTCCTTCTGGGCAGACCATTTTTGAAAACTGCTAAGGCCAAAATTGATGTTGATGCAGGAACTTTGTCCTTAGAATTTGAAAATGAAATTATTAAGTTTAACATTTTTGAAGCAATGAAGTTTCCTGATCAACTCAATCAAGTTTTTACATTAGACATCATTGATGAAATGGCACAAGATGTTTTTCAATTATCAAATCAGGATGAGCTTTTGAGTGTGGTGTCCAATAGTCTGGATCCTGAATCCTTGAAATTCTCTCCATACACTGTAAATTCAGAGATTCATAAACATGTTAAAATGCTATCTGAGGTTAAAACTGTTTCTTTAACTCATACTCTGGAGCTGCCTAAAAATGTACCCAGACAGTTGCCCTCCCTTGTCCAACCACCTGAGTTGGATTTGAAACCTCTACCCTTATATCTTAAATATGCTTATTTAGGCTTGAACAAAACCTTACCAGTGATCATCTCCAGTAAACTGACTGAGGAACAAGAAGATAGGATGTTAGGTGTGTTAAAACAATTCAGTAAAGCCATAGGGTGGACCTTAGCTGACTTGAAGAGCATCAGTCCAGCCTTCTGTAGTCACAGGATTCTTTTAGAACATGGTTTTGAGCCTAAGGTTGACCCTTTAAGAAGAATCAACCCCCCAATGTTAGAGGTTGTATAAAAGGAACTCTTAAAATGGATTCAAGCTGATGTAATCTACCCCATTTCAATCTCTGAATGGGTGAGTCCTATTCATGTGGTTCCTAAGAAAGGAGGAGCCACAGTGGTTACCAATGAGAAAGGGGAACAGATTACTAAAAGGGTTCAATCAGGGTGGAGGGTATGCATAGATTATAGGAAACTAAATAAGGCCACCATAAAAGACCATTTCCCTTTACCTTTTATGGACCAAATGTTAGAGAGATTGTCTGGAAGATCCCATTATAGTTTCCTGGATGGGTATTCAGGATACATTCAAGTCCCTATTTCTCCTAAAGACCAGGAAAAGACCACTTTTGTTTGTCATTATGGGACCTTTTCTTTTAAAAGAATGCCTTTTGGTCTGTGCAATGCCCCTGCAACATTCCAAAGATGCATGACCAGCATCTTTTCAGATTATTTGACAAAAATAATGGAGGTTTTCATGGATGATTTTACTGTGTATGGAGACAGTTTTGATGAGGGTTTAGAGCATTTAGCTATGGTTTTACAAAGATGTGTTGAGTCAAACCTTGTTCTGAATTTTGAAAAGTGTCATTTTATGGTAAATAAAGGTGTTGTTTTGGGACATGTTGTTTCTAAAAGGGGTTTGGAAGTTGATAAGGCTAAGGTAGAGGTCATTTCAGCCTTACCTTACCCTACCAACTTAAAAGATGTCAGAGCTTTTTTGGGACATGTGGGATTTTACAGAAGATTCATAAAGNATTATGGGACCTTTGCTTTTAAAAGAATGCCTTTTGGTCTGTGCAATGCCCCTGCAACATTCCAAAGGTGCATGACCAGCATCTTTTCAGATTATTTGACAAAAATAATGGAGGTTTTCATGGATGATTTTACTGTGTATGGAGACAGTTTTGATGAGGGTTTAGAGCATTTAGCTATGGTTTTACAAAGATGTGTTGAGTCAAACCTTGTTCTGAATTTTGAAAAGTGTCATTTTATGGTAAATAAAGGTGTTGTTTTGGGACATGTTGTTTCTAAAAGGGGTTTGGAAGTTGATAAGGCTAAGGTAGAGGTCATTTCAGCCTTACCTTACCCTACCAACTTAAAAGAAGTCAGAGCTTTTTTGGGACATGTGGGATTTTACAGAAGATTCATAAAGGATTTTTCAAAAATAGCTTTACCTCTAACTGCCTTGTTGGGTAAAGATGTGCCTTTTCACTTTGATGAGAATTGTAAAAAAGCTTTTGATTTCTTTAAACTTAAGCTCACCACTGCCCCTATTGTCCAAAGCCCTGATTGGGCTTTACCCTTTGAAATAATGTGTGATGCTAGTGATAGGGCCATAGGAGCTGTGTTAGGACAGAAAAAAGGACAGGAATCCGTTGTGATATCTTATGCTAGTAGCACCTTAGATTCTGCTCAGTGCAATTACACCACCATTGAAAAAGAGCTATATGATGTGGTGTATGCAATTGAGAAGTTTATGACTTATGTTTTAGGGGTCAAGGTCACTATTTTCACTGATCATGCTGCCATTAAATACTTGATGGCTAAGAGGGAATCTAAGCCTAGACTGATTAGGTGGATGCTTCTAATTCAAGAGTTCCTACTTGAGCTCAAAGATAGACCAGGCCTGCAGAATCAAGTAGCTGACCATCTTAGCAGAGTCTTATACTCCAACAACCAAACACCTTTCACTGGTTTATTCCCTGATGAATCTTTATATACAGTGAAAGTGTTGCCTTGGTATAGTGAGTTGGTTAACTATTTGGTTACTGGAGAATTTCCAGTAGGCATGCCACAAGCTGAGAAGTGTAAACTCAAAGCTCAGTCAAGGTATTACTACTGGGAAGAACCATTTTTGTGGAGATTCTGTTCTGATTTACTCATTAGGAGATGTGTGGGCTATCATGAAGTACCCTCTATCCTAAAATTTTGTCATACTTTAGAGTTTGGAGGACATTTGGGTATTAAAAGAACTGTTCATAAAATCCTTGAATCTGGTTTTTTCTGGCCCACCATGTCTAAGGACACTGCTGAATTTTGTAAAAATTGCCCTAGGTATCAGCAAACTGGGTCTTTAACTAAAAGAGATCAAATGCCCTTAACCTCCATCCTTGTTTCTGAGATTTTTGATATCTGGGGTATGGATTTTATGGGACCATTTCCTCCTTCCAATGGTTTTCAATACATCTTGGTTTTTGTTGATTATTTGTCTAAATGGATAGAGGCAGTGGCCACTAGGGATGATAACTCTCAAACTGTGATTAAAAAATTAAGAGAACTCATTTTGAATAGGTATGGCATACGTAAAGCATTGATTAGTGATAGAGGCACTCATTTCTGTAATAAGACCATGTCAGCTGTCTGTGCTAAGTATCACATTACACAAAGGGTTTCTACTGGGTATCACCCTCAGTGTAATGGACAGGCAGAAATTTCAAACAGAGAAATCAAGAGAGTCCTTGAAAAGGTAGTTAGACCAGATAGGAAGGACTGGAGTTTGAGAATTGAAGATGCTCTGTGGGCAATTAGGACAGCCTTTAAGACACCCTTAGGCATGTCCCCTTATAGGGTAGTTTTTGGAAAGGCTTGCCATCTTCCTGTTGAATTGGAACATAAGTCCTACTGGGCCATTAAAGAGGTGAATTTTGAGTCTGACCTTGGTGGGCAGGAAAGCTGTTGCAGCTAGTTGAATTAGAGCAACTTAGACTTGAAGCTTATGATAATTCTGTCATATACAAAGAAAAAACAAAAATATGGCATGATTCTCAGTTGAGAAAGAAGGAGTTTCATACTGGTGACAAGGTACTTTTGTTTAACTCAAGACTAAAAATGTTTCCTGGAAAGCTCAAGTCTAAGTGGCTAGGTCCTTTTACAGTTGTCCATGTGTATGATTATGGTGCAGTTGACATTAGAAGTTGTGCTACTAACAAGTGTTTCAAAGTAAATGGGCACAGGTTAAAACTGTTTCATGAGGGACAACAAGAGGAGGTTGTGGACAGCTTGAGGTTGGAATCTGTGAAGAAACTTGAGAAAGAGTCTGGCCAAGGACTTTAAACAGGGCAGCTACCTGGGAGGCAACCCAGTGTTTTGTTTCTTTTTACTTTGCTTTGTAATAATGGACTTTGTGACTGTGCTTGCAGCATTGAACAGGGAAGCTGGTTCCCTTATGGAACCAGTGATGAACCTCTGTCCCCTCCTTCCTGTAATTTAAGGAAAGTGGGGGAGGGTCTGATGTGCTAGTTAGGAGGTGTGATTTGGTGATTGTGTGATTGGCAGGCCTGACCAGACCAATTGCACTGAGGACAGTGCCATACCTTAAGTGTGGGGGGGTAGACTTGGTTGGTTTTAGGTTGTAAGCTTAACCCCATTCCCTCTAGACACAGTAGGTTGCATGCTCCCTTTAACCTTCAGTGATGTGTGTGCTTCTTTCGGGATTTGAGATTAAACCAAACCATCAATCATGGTCTCCAATTCTCAGCTAAGTTGTGGAGGACCAAGTATAGGAAGTGTTGGGAAAAATATCATAGATTTTGATGATGATGTATTTAGAATGTAATAGGGACTTTAGGTCTCCCCCAATATTCAATGTAATTTTTTCTTTTTAGAAATATTGTTAAAACCAAGTTCTTGAGATTTCCAATAAGGTTATGATATTTCTTTAAGCGTTTTGATGCCTGAAGACTTAATCAAATTCAGTGATATGGAAATTGGATATCTTAATCGAAAATGCTAGAGACAAGTAAGGATTTCTCAACCAGATGAAAATCCTCTGATCCGGAAGACTACATAAGAACCGGATGTCTCGCTACAACCCGCTAAAGGCTAAGTTACCCAAATCGGAAGACTAACGCGGATCTCTTTCTCACCCGAAAGTCTGAGAATGACTCCTCCGGATTTGTCAGCTAAGTACCGGATGCCTCAAGGAAGACCGGAATTCTCAAAGAGCGGACAAGTAAGAAAAGACTTAGAAGATTATCTAAGTCTTGAATGAAGAAATTCTACCTGTTAGTAAGGAAAAATCAATCTCTTGATTTTCAACGGCTAGATTGAAGATAATTATGCTGATTCAAGAACAAATGACTCGAAGACAAAGTCTGATCCTCTAAGAATTGAAGAACCTATCCAGAATTCCTAAACAAGCACTAGAAGACAAACAGAGTAAAGTTCTACAGTCCAGAATACTCGAACAGCAGCTAGAAGACGGACTCTATGGAAAAAGGAATCTCTCCTTTAAACAAATGGGTATGTCCAAACACCCATTCCAATGAGGAATCTTCAAATCACAATCTTCATTCAAAATTGAAGCCAACAAATGCAACGGATAGTCTATTATGATTCAACGAATATATTATCCAATCCAGCTATAAATAGCATCCTTGGAAGACTGATATCAAATACACAGATATAAAAGGAGATACAACAACACAACAAAGCCATCTCATTCACAGTTAGCACAAAAAAAGGCTTGATAAAGAGAGATTTCTAAACTCCTTATCCAGAAGCAAACTTCTCCTCCTTCCAAAGAGCTATAGTGTAAACACTTGAAGGTTTCCTTGCCTCAAGCACCACACCACGTTGAAGGATATTACTTTTGATCAAACTTATTGATTAAAAGTGGGTAGGTCAACTCTCTTACAAGTTGATCTTGCAAGTCCTATTGTTCGGACCTTGCAGTTGTTGAAGAAGCTTGACCTTCGAAGGAACAACAAAGCCAGCACGAGTGCAGTAGCAACATTGGTCTTGTAAAGATATACCGTGCAGAAATTCACACAAGTGTAATTGTTGGTTCATTATTCAACAACCAACTACATAGTGGATTTTGAGGACGTAGAAGGATTACCCCACCTTCGAACCTCGTTAAATTTTGCGTGTCTCTCTCTCTTATCTTTATTCTTACTTGCAATTATATTAACCGTGAAAACTAACCTATCCATATTGATTACTGCTCACTCTACCCACCAAATTCCGCACACAATCTAAAGTTCACGAGGACTCTAGATTAACACTCATTTTCACGTTTTCAAAAGAAACGAAAAAGGTTTTAAATCTGTAACAAAGTCTATTCACCCCCCCCCCCCTCTAGACTTTGTATTTCACCACTTTGGGACCACCAATTGGTATCAGAGCAAACTTCTCACTATCTATGTTTAGATTAACGAGAAGCGATCATAATGGTGAACAATATGGATCACGGTTTGCCCAAGTTTTCTCTCTTAGGTTATGATGATTGGAAGATCATGATGGAAGCACATCTCTATGCTCTACATGACTGCATGTGGATGGTGCTTGAGGATGGACCCTTGAAAATCTAAATGGAGAATCCTGAGAGGAATTCAGCAACTCCTGATGTAATCCAGTACATTCCAAAGCCCAAGGAAAAATGGGATGATAGAGATTGTAAAAAGCACAATCTGGACAACGTCGCCAAAGCAGCCATCTTCAAGACACTTGATCCCATCACCTTCTCCAAAATCAAGCATCTCAAGATTGCCATGGAAATATGGCAAGGTCTTGGGAAGCTATGTGAGGGATCAGAGGACTTGAGAAAGCAGAAGATAGAAGTCCTACTTGAGAAGTTCAAAGGCTTCAAAATGCTTCCCGGAGAATCATTTGATATGTTGGATGAAAGGTTCCACAAAATCTTGAATGATCTTGCCTCACTTAACCACGTTCTTTCTCCCAAAGAAAAGAATTTAAGGTTGCTGAGATCACTCCCAACTGAGTGGTACACCAAAGCCACAGCCATGGAAGAAGGAAGAAATCTGGAGAACTACACTGTCCAAGGTCTTCTTGATGAGCTCAGAACCTATGAGCACGAGCTGAAGAAGAAGAAGGAAGAACAAGTCACTCCCTTCCCCACGGCACTGATGACAGCTCCAAGAGTACCATCAAGTGAAGGGACATGCCCAAGGAACTGTGACACACCTTCCTCCAGTCAGCCGTCAAGTTCAAAAATGGAGAACTACGATGAGGAATTTGCCATGATGGTCAAGCAATTCCGGAAGTTCAAAAAGTTCTTCAAGAAAGCTGACTCAGTCAGAAGGCCATCCAAGGGAAAGCCACAGGTAAGTGACTCTCCTCCTGAATCTTATTTGTGTTACAATTGCAGGAAGCCTGGCCACTGGAAGTCAGCGTGCCCGTACCCAAAAGTGGAGAAGTACGGAGAAAGAGAAAGGATCGAGAAGAAAAAGAA